TGTAACCACATTCAAAAGTGTTGAATGTGGTTACAAACATGGCTAATTTGTTTCTGTGACTAAAAAACATTTAGATCTCTTTAACACTTGAGAATGAAAGATCATCAGAAATTTTTCCCAAGAGGTCAGGTTGACAGTGGTTGAAGAAAGATTCTGCAAGTTTCCAAAAGCCAATCCATAAAGAGCTTTTACAGGTTGAAACCAATGCACCTGGAAACTTAATGGAACCAGTACAAGATTCATAAAGTTTGTGTTCTTGATCCTGAGCATCAGTCGGCAAACAGGAAGCTGTAGTTTCCACCTATGTCAGCTAGGTGATTTCCAAAGGCAATCCATGCAGAGTGCATTGTGATGATAAGGATGTGTGTCACACTGTTGAGTTTTTTCAATTCCTTTTAGCTATAAGTAGTATAGCAGCTAAAAAATTTTAAACAGCTGTCTTGTCTTCACATATGAATCTAGCAGTATTCATGAGTCGAGAAAAGCTTTTCTTCCAGTTTTTCTGTTTCATTGTTGACCCCCATATAGGCTGAAATGGTCTCCCAGCTAAAGCGCCAGGAATGCACTTTCTTCTGTCAAACAATTTCTGTTTTTAGAAAAATGGATCTTTTTCTAATCAATGTCTGATCAATTTTGTGTGCTAATGGTTTCAGCTTCCATAGTATTCTGCAGTATCTCAACTGCTAACCTCTTTCTTCTGTACGTTCTGTACTCTACTCCTTCTGTCTCTCAGGGTATAAATGATAAATCCCAACCGCCAAAACTACTGTATCAAATCTAACTCAATAGTATAATATACCCAACTATTTCTACCACTTCTGGTTCACAAGAAAAGGTGTATTCCTTCTAGAGGGTTCATTAAACTTGCCTTTCTTGGGAACAATTTTTGAATCCGAAGAAGTTGCTGAAATAGACTGTTTCAAGATGGTGCAATAATTTGTTGGCTGCAGAAACTGATTCAAGCTAAAGTTTCAGAATCTAACATGATTAAGAATAGGATTCAACTCATTTTAGGTCTTTTGTATCAGCTAGATTGATTTGGGGGGGGGGTTGATTGCTTGAGAAAGTCACACTTGGTGTGTTGTTTTTACTACACGTTTGTGACTAGAGTATAACAAGTTAAGCTTTCTAAAAGTGTCATTGCTTAATTCTTGCATGAAATCGAATCATGTTTAAAGCAATCCTTCACAAAATCTGTGTTGCTATGATGTTTGCTAAGCTTTACAAATCAGCATTCACAATGAACATTGAGCTTCTAATAATGAAGTGGGCACTCTAGTATGGGATGACTTAAGGCTTTATATGAGAAATCCATACTAAGCTGCCTATAATCATTAAAAGATGCAGGTCCACAAGGACATGAAATAATATTTCACTCTGGGAATACGTAAGCATCATCCATTCATCTTTGTCACCGTTGAAAATCCAGGCTGATGACTAATGACAAACTACCTGCTCCAAAGCAGAACAAGGTGCCAATGTACTCAGTAAATCATCTGTCACTCTGCTAATAACAAGGTAGTCCAAAGATGCCAGGTGTGACATATACTATCATACCAGTGATGGTTTGGATGAGTGTTCTTCAGCATGGTAGAAAACTCTGGCTTCCAGCACTTCTCTTAATTCTTACCTCTCTGGCCTCATGATCTCCCTCTGTAGCATTTTCAATCAGGATGTGATAATCTTCCTGTATCATTAATACAGGAGGAATACTGAGCATTCAGTGAGAAGGAACTCTTATCTGACGAGTTGGAGAGAATGTAACTGGTTCTGAGTGAATTATAGAAATGTGTGTTTTTGGGCAGTCAAGTTCAGATCCATACCTGGCAGTAATTTCTCGGGGTGATATTTGTTGTTCACACCTGAATGCTGATTTGGTGAAACTGCCAGCTGTTCTTAAAATGGGCATCCTGTTCCTTAATACTCCTTCAGAAAGAATTACTAGCTAGCCGTCGTCATTTGGCTGAAGGAGATCAGTGAATGATGTCTCTGAGACGCCATTTTATCTGAATCCTATTTAGCTATTTAGTGACTCTGTTGAGATGCCTAAGCATTGTCTTATATCCTGGGAAGATCCATTTTAAATCTGTGCAATGTATAATTTCTCCTCTCTCCCCCATGGGAAGTAGCAGAGTAACAGAATTGGAAGGGACCTTGAAGATCTTCTAGTCCAACCCCCTGCCAAGGCAGGAGACTCTACCATTCCGGACAAATGACTGTCCAATGTCTTCTTTAAAACCTCCAGTGATGGAGCACCCACAACTTCTTAAAGCAAGCTATTTTGAAGGCAAGAGATGCCTATAAGATATGCCAATGTAGGAGGACCTTTCTTGCAATTAGACACCAAGATAGTTGATGGATTAAGTACAAGAAGAGAAGAACTTGCATACTAATCAATTTTATCATCTTTAGATGTTGCAGATTCTTTAGATACCATCCAATTCCCTATTATAAAACTATGCAGCAAGTAAACCTGAAAAGATTATGACTGACAGGAAGGAATAAAGTCACAGAATTGCAGAATTAAATAGAGCAGTCTATTTTTCATTCAATGAAATGATTTTTTTTATTTAGTTAAATATAAACATATATTTCCATTTTGAGATATAACTTAAGCAATAGTTTGATATAGAAAATTCTCTTAATGTGTTGTAGAGGCACCGATTCTGTTTGGAGATCTACTCTAGAATTAACCTATATTTAAGATTATTGAATGTTTACAGTATATTACAGGACTGTAATTATGAAAAGATTTAGATGTTTTTAAAATGTAAATGCGGCCATTTTGCTAAGTGAATGGAACTGTGGGATTAAGTCAACACTATACCAAGAATCCCTTTAAAGTATATGTTGTTGTTTAAAAATGAATTGAAGCAGATGGGCAGCTGTATCCATATTAATAGTCAAAACAGGAAAAAATGACATACACATGCAATGTGACAGATTATTAATTATGACACCATTGCTTCTTGCCTGTTTTGATGCCCAAACATATTATCAGGATACCATTGTGGACATTGCAGCAAGTAGATGCAGGTTCAGGGCATAAATAGAGTGTGAATTGAATGCATAGAAGTGATATGTGAAGTGGGTATATGGGAATGGAAAGCTTGATATGTAAAACCCTCAGTGGTTAGAGAAGGCAGAAGAGATAATGGGATTACAGAGGAAGGATATTAAATTTAGAGGAGGACTATGGAATGGCATTTCATGTTTTATGGAAAAAGTTAGTCTTAAGTGTTGAGGTTGGTTTGCCTCCAAATGTGGGGTAAATCTCCCTGAAGGTGGATTAAAGTTATTTGGAAGACATGTAAGAGTTCTCACTTAGCTGCAACTCATCTTTTTTCACTACATTCCACACATGCATTCACGAATTATTAAAAATTTGCTTACATTTTTATAGTATTGTCAATGTAAATTGCAAAAATTAGTACAGAATTTAATTTATCTAAAGCTTTGCAGAAGGAATTAGACAAAAATTGAAATAGGAAAATGAATATATGAAAATGAAAAAATATAGCTATGCAGCATAATTAAAACAAAAGAACATAAAACAAAAGGGGAAAATCATTTATATCACATACTAAATGTCAGATTTCAACATTTGACCAAATTAAACTGAATAACTTTTAAACAAAAATCAATGATTCTCCAATATTTCAAAATATGTATAATGAAATTACATGTGTCAAGTGTCTGAAGTGGCTGGCTCAACACAAATAAACCTCCCAATTAATAGAAATATTGAACAACTTACATGCTTCAACATCCCAGAATAGCTTTTTCAAGAGCTTGCTTTGAACAACTAGACTCCATGGTAAGACATGTGAGGTTTAATGGAGTGTCAGTTGAAGAAAGACTGTATTTGTGGAGCATCAGCCATTGAAGACATAGGACACCTTCTTGTTGATGGCAAATTATATTCTCCAGAAAGTGCTGCTTACTTAGACCCTTATTTAAAAACTAAAAATATGTTTAAAAGACTAAAACAGTCTTACCTATTGCAGGGAACAACCTTGCATATTATCAGTAGGATTGTACTCTTCATTTCAAAAACCATCTCAAAGAGGACAGAATACGGGACCTAGATCCGTTTGGGCTTTACTGTAGGGGTGACTATAATCAATATTTTTTGTATGTATATGCATTTTTGAATACTCTTTACAGTTAGTTGTATTAATAAATTTCTCTTTTCCTCATTTTTGATTAGTGATAAATTTCCCATTTCAAAAATGAACAATTCACAGATCTAATATATCAGGAATATTACTACTTTTCCAATGATTTTTTTAGCCACATTCAGACCAATTCAACCATAACTCCTCAACAACTATCAAATTCCAAAATTTGGAGATATAATTTAACTTAATATAAATATCTTTAGCTTTAGAACAATGTCAAAACTATATCCATCTCCATAATCAAGTATTTATAGTATTATTGTATATCATTTATTCCTGCATATCCATAATTATTTAATCATATATCAATAAACTGAACCCCCTCCTCAGACAGTGATACTATTTTCCGTTTTCTGAAAGATTTTATTCCTATTTATTTAGTTCTTGTGTTAAAAGATGCATGGTTATTCAAAAAGTTCAAAAGTTTAACTTATGCAACACAGATTCTTTTGGTATCTTGTTTCAAACAGTATAATCTTTGATGCACTTTTTATACTATCTCAGTTAAAACTGATCTCAGATATGTCCATCAAATGTTAATCTGATGTGAAACATAAGCTAATAAATCTAATATACTATTAAGCTTCCAACTATATCTGTATCTAATGTAATTTATTAGCTAAATTGTTTGCTTTGTTTTTAATATTTGTGTGTTTGCTTTTTTCTATCCACTTTTTTCTTTTTTGGGGCGTGAACTTAAAATAGCATTCAAAAGCTAAGTAATAAGGAAACTAGAAATTAATGGCATGCTTAATGTAGTTTGAAGTCAGGTTAATGTTTATATTTAATGTGAAACTTGAATGGTTGCTTTAACTATAGGTTAACTTCTGGCCCTGGTTTAAAGATTGAAGAAAATCATCTTGGTGCAGCTGAAGATATATCCAAGCACAAGGAGAAAACCAAAAAGAATGTTTATCCCATAACATTTGTATCTTCCAAGCAAACCCTTGAAAATCAATGCACTCAACAATGAATATTTTTGTCACTTTTGGGGGTCCTTTCAAATGTATCTGAAATAGCCTACCCAGAAGGTTCTAGATATGTGGAATCATCGTTTCTGGTCAATATGTCCAATTGTTGTATTGACTGGGCATGATAAAAGTTCTGGCCCAATTTGTCTTGGTTTCCAGATTGGGGAAAACGGGTTGCAGAATAAGTGATGATAAATGATTTTGTTCAGTGCTTTTTAATAGTATCAGCTGAACGTAATACCTGAATAGTTTGAAGTTGGTACTTCAGTTGTAAGTCTCATGTAATATATTTTGAAAACTGCAAATCTATTACAAACAAAATGAGTATGCCAGTTAACAGCAGCATATAATCCACTCTTTATGTGAAGCCCAAGTGAACATGTAAGCATAGATATAAATAAATGGATGTAATATATGGTAATGAATCTGTAACATAGTACTGTTTTTGCTCTACTTGTATGTATGTATTAATTAAATAAAAACTTAAAATTGTTTTGTACATTTCTAATAAATATTAAATAAAACTTCAGAGTTTTATGCATTACATTTTCCTGATTGCTTCTCCCTTAGCAAAATTGTAGTTTACTACTAAAAGAGAATTCATATACCTTTATGTCAAATTGAGACATGTTTAATTTTATAATTATGTGAGCTGTATAATTATTTGAAGAAATAATTCATTTTGAATGAAAGTTGATTGATGCTGTAAAATCAGAGTGGAGCTCCTGCATTGCCTAATGCAGATAAGATGCAAGAGCTGAGCCTGGCAGGGCAAGAAGCAGCATCTACAAAGCCAGTCTACAGAGAATCATATAAAAAAAAACCTAGATGCCGCTTGAGGGCATCAAAAGACTAGCTAAGCATCTGTTAACTTGGAAGGATAGAGAAAGGTGAAAAGCCTAGAGATTTTAACTTAGTTGTAATCAGATAAACTTTATGCCAAGTAATGCCAAGTGCTGAATAAGGAACTGAGTGTCTTTGGAGCTGTGGAAGGAGCTGTGATTTCTTTCTAATTATTTGTATGGTTTTTGTAAACACGGTTTACACAAAATTGAGATAGCCAATCAAGGTGGAGCAACATACAGTACAGGTAAGCTTTAGGGAAGTAAAATGCATCATATCTACAAGGCAAAGGTAGCAATAGCAATAGCAGTTAGACTTATATACTGCTTCATAGGGCTTTCAGCCCTCTCTAAGCGGTTTACAGTCAGCATATTGCCCCCAACAACAATCCAGGTCCTCATTTTACCCACCTCGGAAGGATGGAAGGCTGAGTCAACCCTGAGCCGGTGAGATTTGAACAGCTGAACTGCAGAACTGCAGTCAGCTGAAGTAGCCTGCAGTGCTGCATTTAACCACTGTGCCATCTCAGCTCTAAAGGTACTCCATAATGAAGGCAGAGTGTAATCAGGAATATCCATGTAATGGAAACAATGTCACACCCTGGTCACTTCACCATTTCTGGACTTTTTGACCCAGGTCCTCCTATCCCAGGTATTGTAATGCAGTTACAATACTGCAGATTACAATACTGCAGATTAATCACTAGGACCAAGATACTTAGCTATTTAGTAAAGAACTGTGGGTTTATATTTTCTCCTTCCTTAAAACAATTATCTCCGAAGTGAGGTACGCACACCTGAAAAGGTTTGCAAGGCAATCCATTGGAGTATGGGAAGAAAGTACATATATTCTGTTAACGAGCATTTGATCAGTGACCATTCAAAATTACACTGGTGCTTAACAATTGTATTTATGAATATCTCAAGTTCCAGACATACCAGCAGCCCTGTGGTCATATGATCACAATGTAGATACTTGGCAACTGGCTTGCATTTAAGACAATTGCTATGCCCACATCACATCACCATTTGCAATCTTCCCTGTGGGCATCCCACAAGGTAAGTCAATGCAGAAGCAGCAAGGAAGCTCTCATGTTGCTCAGATTTTCTGCCTGAGGTGTCTCAGTGTCCCAGCATTCCCTCCCATGGCACCCACTTGCACATCATTCCCTAAATAGCAGCAACACCCTGGATGTACTGTGTTTGTGTCACACTCTAACTGCCACTTAACACCCTCCCCCATTCAGTTGCACTTGTGACTTGCTCATACAGCCCTCATGTATCCAGCAACAGCTGGCTACAATAACCCTGGCCTCCTGTGTAATTGTCAGTCTGCTGCATCAAGAGTTATACCCTGATAACCAATTGCACACCTGTCACAATAGCCATCCATGCACATGTCACACAAGTGCAGTGGTTGCTATGCAGTAGTGCAGGCTACTGCCGGCAGTTCATTTCTCATGGGCTAAAATTTTACTCAGCCATCCTTCCAAGGTCGGTAAAATGAGGAACAGATTGTTGGGGCAATATGTTGACTCTCAACTGCTTCAAAGCACTGTGAAGATGTATATAACTCTAAGTGCTATTGCTATTACTAAGCAATTTTACCTATGATGTCAGTTCATGTATTGTCCAAAACCATGTCTTGGCACGTTTCAAGACTCCTTGCTACCTATCAAAAGAATCTTAATTTCAGGGTAGCTGGGTTTATATAAACCCAATTTGATTGTGGCCACAGAGTTTCTTCTTAGTTATGCTCTTTAATTATAACAACTCTTTCTGAGAGAAGGTAATTGGTAAACTGATTTTGTGCTGTAATCCATAATATTTATTTATTTATTGAGTTTATATTGCTGCCTATTTGTCCATGCAATTCAAGGCGGCTTTCATAATATAAAACCACATTTAAAATAATAAACACTAACACAAAGAATCAAATAAATTATTATAGTACAATATAACAATCACCTCCCACCCCCACCCCCCCATCGACAGCAGATCACATGAGCCATTTAATGGACTCCATCCCGCTTTGGGTTCCCCGGGCAGGTGGCAGAGCCAGGTCTTCTATGCCTTCCGGAAGAGTATTAGAGTGGTGGCCATTCTAATCTCTGGGGAATTATGTTCCAGAGAGAATGCGCCACCACAGAGAAAGCCCTTCTGGGTTCCATCATAAGAAGATTATTTTGGTTCAGGTATATTAGTAGAAAATTAAGTCACTATGGCAACCACTTAAAGTAAAACAATCCATGCAGAATTTTTCCATAGCACTTGAAAGAAGGTGACTGTAAAATGGAGCAATGTTTCAAACATTTTGGAAAATTTAAGCTGAAGCTGTACAGTTTCCATGGAAGAGAAGCATCTTTTTGTGTGAGCATACAAGTGGTGGGTTGCAGGTGGTACACCTGGTACAGGCGTACCAGTGCCTGCTGGGAGCACCGGGTACCGTTCTGGTAGGGTGCTCTGGAGTGCCTGCCCGCCCGCCTGAGTTCCTTACCTGTATTTGAGCTCTTCGGCACTTCCGCACACATGCATGGAGCCTGCGTGATGTTCTGGCGAGCAGCTAGAGCATCGTGGAGGTAAGGACCCATGTGTATGTTAAGTCCTCGGACTTACGAATGACAGCTTGGCAACTGCCAGGCGCGCTGGAACCAATCAGGTGCGACCTGCCATTGCCGGGCTGTCAAACGCACGGCTATTGGTCTCCCTGCTTGACAGCTCCATATAAATAGCTGTCAAGCAGGGAGGGGGGGGGCGGTCTACTTGCATTTGCTTGTAAAAGCCCTGTTAATAAAACGGTTGTGTTTAACTCACCTCAGACGCCTCCTGCCTCATCCTTCTAGGGAATTTAACAGTGTATGTGCGCACTTGCTGAGCACGTGCATGTGGTGGACACCGGGCCCCATTGCACCGTACCGGTTGCACAGGGATCCGGAACCCACCACTGGAGTATACATTACAATCTCTGTATTATTAAGTTATATCTTTAAAACATAAGATAACTGCCATAGCATGTCCTGATAGATCTGTCATTTCCAGATAAAATTAATTTGATGACCCCCAAATGATTGATTGAAGAATTGACCTCTGAGAGGTTTTGTATGTGCTATAATGCTGCTTGATTTGCTTAGACTAGAACATGACTCTTCCTCCCTTGTCAAGAAAGGCATGCCTGCCTAAGTATCACTTTCATTTAGTGTAAGAACCATACACTGGGGGAGAGTGCGCAGACAAAAAGAGGAAGGAAGAAGAGGAACAGGGAAAGCCACACAGCCCAAACCTGCTGTTTTTCAGCAAACATATCTTCTGATTCATTTGTATTAATCGGAACAGTCCATCCCAGCATCCTGAATCACGGCTTATTGCTGGACTCCCTAGAAATGACTCCTTGGCATAAAAGTGAAAAGAAGACTGGAGTGGGTATGTATTATGCAGCCTCATTTTCTGAGCATGTCTTTCTGCAGAGAGGGTGGGTAACAATGCCAAAATGGCTGAAAAACATTTCTTTTTTAAAAAAAACAACAACCCAGAAGCGAGCAGGTTTTTCTAACATGGGAATCCCCATATGCACCGAATTAAAATTCTCAGAATTTCCCTTCAGAATGGCCATTGGTGGCTGAGATTTCTGTGATTGTAGTCCAAAAAGTTCCAGAAAGATGGGGAGACGTATTTTGAGCTGATTGATTCATAGTAATTAAAAATAAGCAAGTCCTCAATTTGAGCTGTTCTTTTAGACTCACAAAATACCTTTTTGTGAAGATTATTCAGTTGTCATTAAGTGAAATTTAAGCTATCAAAATTAAATGTGGGAGTTCAGTAACTTTTTCTGACGTTTTAGCTTAATTATACAGGAAATAGAGTTTTTTTTAAAAAAAGAAATGAGACTTCTTACAAACTGCAATCTATTCTTCGTAGTAGATTTGACTTTACTTAACTGACAGTTATTTAGAAGATATAGACTATTTCCCACAAAGTCTCCTTATTTGCTGACATTGTTTGTGCATTTTCCAGTGATAATGTAAAATTATAATCTATGCTAAACTACCAATGTGGCAGCAGCATTAAGAGGATTTGCATCTGAGAAAGCAGGAAGAGAACACATCTGTATGTTGAACTTTAAAAAAAGAATTATCCCACCTTTTATAAATAATTGACAACAGAAAACATACCTAATATTCCTTTGTCCTCCTTTTTTCCCCACAACAACCCTGAGTGATGGATTGGTTGAGACACTGACTGCCCCAAAGTCACCCAGTCAGCTTTCATGCCTAAAGTACAGTAGAACTAAAATTTACAGTCTTCTGATTTCTAGTTCAAACCACTAGACCAAAATGGCTTTGTTTTGAAAACCAGCTTATTATCTGCAAGGAATCAGAATTTCATTCTCCAGCACTGCCATGTTGTATCTCTAAAGAGTTGCTGCAAGCCAGGGAACTGATTTTTGGGATAGATCTCCATGAATCAGAAATGGAGAATCATATCATTTGGATAAGACATACCTACCTATAACCCACAGTGTTCTAAGGTGGCTTTCTCACAGATAAAGCTATGGAAGTTAGATTTGAAAATAGAAAATTTCAAAACCATTGTTGGATGAGGTAATATTTTGTGGATACAACAATGATATTTTCAAATCCTTTGAAACAAATTGTCCCTCTAGTTAGATGCATCAAGTGCAGGGTAAAGTCTCAGGCTTGAGTAAAGGATCTCTTGGTCTGTGAAGCATTTCAGTCCTAGTATCTGAGTTTTCCAATTCAATCTCTACCCAAGCAACACTTTATTCTCATGACTGAGATAACATCGAGAACATAGAACCTCATTCCTAGAATCTGGATACTTCTGCCTTGTTCCCTAAAAACAGGAAGAGAAGAGTGTTACCTTAATATTTGTTGAGCTATCTAGTAAAGCATTAAGAAAAAGATATTTCATTCTCTACGTTGCAAGGAAACAAGGGGGTACTTTGTACTATGTAGCACTGCTTTGACTATTGCAAACTCTAAATTATATAATTCAGCTTAATTCATTACTTGGGAAAATCAGCCCCTTTTAGCTCTGATAAAGAAACCCTGACACTTAAAGCATGTGGATTTAGAATTAGCTGTCCTGAAAATCTTCACCTGTAGTAAGCGCAGTAATAAAAATTATTATGGTTGGTCTCAGTTGGCCAGAAGTTTAAACTGAATTGGGCATTTTTATCAGCCTATCAACTTTTCCCCAAGAACCTGGGATAGGCAGATGTTGATGTTTGATGGTGTTAAAGATATTGTTGCAGGATGTAAGCTGTTGCAAGTAAAACTGTCTTTTGCAATTGATGGATGGTGATTTTGTCAATGCCAGTGGTGTTCCAGTTGTTTGGGATTGCACTCAGGTCGCCTATCATTATTGATACTAACTTTGCTTTCTTTTATCCTAGCTGTCCTATTTCTGTTTATAGGTCTTCATATTTTATTATTTTCTTCAATTCTTCCTCTCCCTCTCCCTCTCTCTCTCTATCTCTCTCTCTCTCTCTCTTTCTTTTGCTCTCTTCAGCAAGGGTATTACAGTGTCCATTATGTCCCAAAGGTGCTTTTCAAAAGGCAATTGGACTTTTTTGTTTTTTCCTTGAAAACATTTCACTTTTCATCCAAGAAGCTTCTTCAACTCTGACTGAATGGTGAGGAATGGAAGGATTTATATTTGCAGTTATCTGGTTATTAGCATTTCGAGGATTGGTTGTTAGCTCTCTGAGAGTTTTTGAGGCCACTTGGTGGTTTATCTGGGTTATCAGAGTGCAAATGGGTGTGGAATCTTCTTGTGGCTCATGAAAGGACTACGTTGTAGACAGGAGATAGGTGGCATTGCATCCCGCTCTCCCTCTGATGAGAGAGGACTGCTCAATTTTAACAGAGATGGCCAATTATACTCTTTTTTTCAAAGCAATATCAATAAATAGTGTCCATTATCCAGACTTTTTTGTCTTGCTTATCAACAGCTATTAAGTCTGGGCTTCTTCATTTTCTATTACGTGGTCTGGTTCTTGCTTATGGTCAAATGATAGTGTCTTGAAAATATTCCAAAGCATCCATTGTTGCTACTTTGTCATGACATTGTCTGTAGTCACTCTGTGATTTTCTTGGAGCAGTTAATTAGGTGTTTCTTCAGCTTCTTTGCAGAGGTGGCACTTTCTGTCTTTTGCTGTCTTCTCAATTCTGGCTTTGTATGAATTTGTTTGAAAGGCTTCATCTTGTGCAACCAGAATTATCTTCTCTATCTCTTTCTTCAATTTTCCTGTTCTTAGCTGTTGCTAGATATTATTGTTATCTGCTTTGTCTGCTATTTTATATGTGCTGGCCACGTAATACTTTGTCTTGCCATGTCTCTTTTCTATTATTCATTTGGTTTTTCTCTATAAGCCACTTTGGTCTCTCCAGTATTCAGTAAGTCTTCATAGTATACTTGTCTTAATGCATCTTCTTCACTGTCCTTTAGATATTCTTCCAATGCCCTTTATTAATTGTTCAACTGTCTGGTTTATTTGCAACATTCAATATCCTCTCATAGGGACACAGTGGTTCAGTGCTAAGATGCTGAGATTGTCGATCAAAAGATCAGGAGTTCAGTGGTTCAAATCCCTAGTGCCGTGTAATGGCGTGAACTCCCATTTCTTGTCCCAGCTTCTGTCAACCTAGCAGTTTGAAAGCATGTAAAAATGCAAGTAGAAAAATAGGAACCACCTTTGATGGGAAGGTAACAGTGTTCTGTGCACATTTGGCATTTAGTTATGCCATCCACATGACCACAGAGACGTCTTCAGACAGTGCTGGCTCTTCAGCTTTGAAATGAATATGGGCACTGCTCCCTAGAGTCAGGAACAACTAGCACATATATGCAAAGGGGGAGATTTGTTTTAAAAAAATGGGAATAGTTTGGAATTACGTAAGCACAAGGAAGACATTTACTGATAAAGATTTTTAAAAATTTTTTAATTTGGACTCCTGAATTCATTCATAGGAATTCAATGTTCAAACAGACTGAATCTCTTCCCTTTTTAAAAAGAATTAGATTCGTAGTATCAAATGATGTGGCAGAACTTAGCTGCAAGTTTCCACTTGTTCAAAAACATCAAGGCGCCAAAACCACTTCCTTTGTCAGTTGTTTGGATGTCATCACGCTGACATTTCTTAAGGTACCATCAGCAAAGAAAGAATGTTATTCAATTAAGGAAAAATTGCTAAATACTGAATATTAAGTTCTATACTGTTCTCTTCATGGCACAAGCAAAACCAATCCAGTGACTACAGAGTAGAATGTACATTTACTTCCCCATACCTGCTTCATGAAATTGTTTTCTTTAAGAACAAAAATGAAAAAGAAATAGATAAAATAAAATGAGTGCAAGCTTAAGAATGAGACAGACTCCAATGTTGATTGGCAGACTGAATTCTATGTTTTCAATAAATTAATACTATTGTCAACCCTGAAGCAAAGCTGGCTGGGGCCATCTTTGAGGCTTCAGGGTTGCCATTAGATGGGAGGGGAAGGGAAATGGTTACCTGGGGTTTTGCAGTCAAAACAAAACGTTTTCTTGTGGGAACCAAGGTCATTCCAAAAGGTAGCTGGGAGAGGAGGAGCAAAGTAACCAAGCAGCTGCCCAGAACTTCTATTGGATAAAGACTGATGGTTTGGGGAAAGGGGGAAAACCTTCTCTTTTAACTGGGTGAAAACTGCAGGAACTTTTAGAGTTGAATCTCACCAGGTATGGCAATATGATGTATCCAATACATTTGTTCTTTGAGAAATCTACCTGCCTAAGAGTTTTGCTTTCTATGGGTGCATTATTTGGAACATGGACAACTATGCAGTTATCTAGGTGTCAGTATTTTCCCCCTGGTGCCTTCCAACTATGTTAACCAGCTGATTGGAAAAATCTGTGATATATTTTCTGAAGCTGTAATGTGATCCATTCATTTAAACATGTTCTCTTTATTTTTAAGTGAGTTGACAAATGAAGTATTTATGGCTGCCCATTTAAAGGCACATTTCATTATTAAAGCATTACCAAGGGGCTTCCCTTCTGCATGTGATGGAATGTAATGAACCTCTGAAGAAGCTTCTTGGATAAGAAGAGAAACGTCTTCCAAAAAAACACAAAAACCCAGAAAGTCCAGTTGCCTCTTGAAAAAGCAACTTTGGGATAATACAATGTTTAGATGGCAGCAAAGAAAGGCAGATAATTAATTCTTGGCTGGCTGACTTATGGTTGTCTGGATGTTTGCAGCCCAGATTTGATAGCCCTAGTAAAAGAGAAATAGAAACTATACACTAGAGACTGCCCTATGCAGTCACTCCAATTGAAACTATAAACCACTGTGTTGCTGATTTTCAGTGGTATGATTTTTCATTCTAATTTGCCCCATAAGACTTTTGTGCCCATTCTGGTAGTGGTGTACTAGAATGGTAGTTGATAGTGTCATATTTGTGGCTCTTGAAATTTCATTTAAAATAAATGTATCATCTCCTTCCTGCAATAATATATTAAAGGTAAAGGTTCCCCTTGCACATATGTGCTAGTCATTCCCCACTCTAGGGGGCAGTGCTCATCTTCTTCTAAAAGCTGAAGAGCCAGTGCTGTCCAAAGAGGTCTCTGTGGTCATGTGGCTGGCATGACTAAACGCCGAAGGCTCACATAATATAATATGTAACATAAATATAACTCAAACAGCCCCTAAACAATAGGCTTTTAGGGTGTTATTGACCTTATAATTGATTGTGTGCTGTCATAGGAAAGGCTTTTAATTAATTCATTCAGTTTGATTAATGCTACTGATTAGTAGCAAGCAGCCTGTCTTTTCCCCCTCTAACAGTTAATTTTCTGTTTCTTTTTTAAGAAACAAAAAAGAAAGATATAGGATGGTTTAAAAAAAATGGAAGATGATGTTATCTGGAAAAAGATATGTAATATTATGAATAACTCAAGGCAACAGTGAAATAAAAGCCTCCTTTAAATACATGCTGATCATTGAACATTTAGTATTTTAATGTAAAAACAGTGAAAGTTATTTGCATCATGCTGTAGGAAACAGCTTGATGCAGTATGGCTGTAAATACGTTTTGGGAAGCTGATCAACAATGAGAGTCAAATCTGAGAACAAAATGTATTAACTTAATTGTTGTTACAAGGTAATTATTGTCATTGTCTTGGCTATGTCTTGAAACCGCTTTCTATGCACATTGGCTAGCATGCTGGAAAGAATGCCAAGACAAATTTTGAATGAAAGAGGAAAATTTGGAACAATCATTTAATATGTGCTTAGGATTCAAGTGTTTGGATTCCTTTGGAGAACGCAGCACAAATACATTTCTTTCAGACCAGAAGCCCAATTTACACTTGGTAACGAATCTATTTCTTGTTTTTGCCCTTGGCTGGTTTAATAGAACTGGTGAAGGCATTGTTTCACAAGTGGTACAGTTATGCTCCAAACATAGTACATCATCTAAATTGTTTTGTACTAGATGAAAACACTTTTGTTAATGAAAGTTGGAGCCCTGAATTCTCACAACACATTTTTCATCATGTAAGTGCAGATTTTATTCCCTAAATAGCACAAGAGTGCCTAAACATAAAGCTCTCCAATTATATCGTTCGGAGCACCAATACTTTTGTATTTGTATGTTCCACTTAGCATGCATATTTCTTATGTTCAGGGCAGCTTCCCAAACTGCAGTACAACCAAATAATCTTGGCTTGTGAATTAATTTTTTTTCATGCAGCTTTGGTTCCTTTTGATATGGAGTTGACATAATTTGACTGAAAATCAAAGCGACTTTCAAATCATTTTATCTCTCATTGGACTGTTTTGTTCCATACACTGGGATTTCATACCAATGTCACAAGGTTCAGAGCACTCTTTTTCTCTCTGCTCTGTGGCATTAAACTAAGGTCAGGAAAAAGGGATTTCCCCCCTTCCATGGGAAGTTGAGAGATGTTATGCCAAATCCAAAATCATTCCATCATTCACCAAAATTCAAGGCATATTCATTTCTCTCATCAGGATGTGAGAGTTTTTTCTTCTTTTTTCAGAGGGTGAAAACGGTGGTAGAGGCTATGGTGATTTATCCTGCAGAGCTTCAGAGAATCTGGCTAGTTGTGATAATACCCTGTTTCCCTAAAAATAAGACCTCCCGGGATAATAAGCCCAATTGAGCTTTTGAGTGAATGTGCTAAAATAAGCCCTCCCCCGAAAACGAGCCCTCCCTGAAAATATTGCAACACAGTAGCAGCCATGAGGTGACCACGCTCGCCACCTCCTGCACATCAAAAATAATAAGACCCCCCCCCCAAAAAAAATAAGGCCAAGCAATTATTTGGGGGGGTCAAAAGAAAATAAGAAAAATAAGTCTTGTTTTGGGGGTAAACATGGTAAAAGCTCCAGAGGCAAACTTTTTGTTGTTTTTAAGAGATGGTCAAAGGTTTACTCATTGACCTCTTCAAGCATTAGAGGGAATGGTTGCTAAAAGTTATAGAACTTCTGCTCACTTTGATGGCATGATCTTGGAAAATCCTTAGCAGCAAATGTCAGGTGCAGTTTGTCTACTTCTGCCTGAAGTAATTAGCTAACACTAATCACAATTCTCAGTTGGATAAAAGCAACTAAAGGGTTTGGGAAGAGAATTGAGATCTTGCAAACTCTTTGTTACAATTAATTCAGAGAAGAGTGCAAGAAAGCCTATGGCTTATTCAAGCTTTTTCTCATAATATTAAACTGAATGCTGCATCTGAACATAATCCATTTAAAAGATAAAGTTGTTTAATGACATTGTGTTCTTTTTTTTTACAGCAATATACAATTTTAAAGCTACCCAAGTGCCCCAGATATCACTACAGATTGGGGATGTGGTTCATATATTGGAAGACCATGAAGGTAAAAAATATACACTACTTTTCATATTGTTACATCTTTGCTTCATTAACTTGAGTTTGGGGCTGTATATAAGATGACATGAATTTTTCTCCTCTTCTAGTTGTTAAGTACTGTACATGTGAGGTGAATTAACATAGTCTTACTATTCTTTAAGCTAAAAGTGTGGGGTGACTCTTTGAGTGTGGAGTATAAGTAAAGCTAATTTATATAAAGACTCTTTAATGGAGATTAATAACAAACATACTGTATATGTCACTCTCAAAGGATTTTGAGTAGGGTGAACTGTATTCTGGTGAAGTCTGGCTAATATATCAAAGTCTATGATGAAGAATATAACTTACAGGTAATCTTTGACTTATGACCAATCATTTAGCAACTGTTCAAAATTAAGATGGTGTTGAACCAAGAGGCTTACAACTTGTCCCTGAAGTTACAACCATTGCAGGAATCCTATGGTCAAATGATTAAAATGTGGGTGCTTGGCAGCCTGCACACAATCAAACTTGCAGTGCTGTTGTAACTCTCCCTACCTACCTAGATCCCCCCATCTCTGCCACTGCTCCAGCTTACTGGTGTAAGTAAAACCCAGAGAGAATCAGTGTACAATAAGTGGAATGATTGATTGTGTGGTTGTATCATGATTGGTAGATTGGTGTTGATTGGTGCTGGCTGTGTGTCTGTTGTTGTTTCGTGTTGTAACGGCCTGGGTGGTGGTGGGGGCTCGTTTGTTGACTAGGGCTGGTAGGTGGGACAACAAGAGAATAATTATGGAAGCTATCGAAATAGAGAAACACCCCCACAACATGAATAAACCTGACGATACCTCCCACCTACCAGGCATCTGGAAACCAGCCCTAGTCAACAAAGGAGCTCCACCCACTACCCAGGCTGTTACAACATGAAACAAGAATAGACACACAGCCAGCACCAATCAGCACCAATCTACCAATCATGATACAACCACACGGCCAATCATTCCACTTACTGAAACAAAGCCAGCACTCCACACACCCCCACCAAGTTTTATAGAATGACGGGAGCTCCAACCACGCTTTAAGCCCAAAACCCAGCCTGAAGATGGCGAGTGGGACCTCGCCGAAACATTGCCAAGACAATCTCAATCTTACATAGGAAAAGACCCAAATACAACAAGACCAGCATACATACATATACATATACATATACATATACATATACATATACATATA